CGTGCGAATGCACCACACGAAATTCAGATGTGGGGGGGTAATTTCAAAAAATCACAAGGTCCCCAGATAATACTAATCCTGTGCGAATAGGGCTCTAGAAAGCTTATCAGAGGACACGTGAGCATAACGGTTAGCAGATCAATGAATGGACTGCACCCCAGTTGGGAAACACTGCCCTAGACGTTTAACAACTAAAGGAGGGTCGTAACAATATATAATGATGATTAATGTTTTTTTGTGACTTTTTTTTCATGTGATCACCAGTAGATTCCTCCATAAGAGACATTGAAAACATTTGAAAAGTGTTTTGTTGATGACGCTAGTGTCACAAATACACACTTCACCTTTCAATCAGACAAAGAAAGCTTTACCTCACACTGAATCCAGATGATCCTGTCCAAAAAAGACAGAGATCAACACAAGGTATGAGATGTTAAACCACATCATTTTTATTCACGTATCACTTTTCACATTCAATATCGTTTCAAAGCAGCTTTACAGAAAATCACGCATTGGTGCCTTAAACTTTAAATACACAAGTGACAAACTATAGCAAATGTTTTATGTATCAGATTTGGAAGAAACAGATGAAACTCATCTGGAGGAAACCATTTTTCTCTGACATTATCGGTTTATGCAGTACGTGTGTCCTTTGATGCCAGGCCATCAGTAATGTCCATCATTTTGTTACAAGCGTTCTCTGCTGTTTCTCGTCAGGCAGTGAGATGACTGACAGCAGCGTATTCACTGTAGTCCTGATTATTCCTCAGTCTGACACTTTCAGGACAGTCCGCTTTCTTGTGGAAATTCACCACGGCGTAATTCAGATCCTCAGCAGATGTGACAACGATCTGAGAGTCACCAGTGGCTTTCTGAACACAGTCAGGAGAAACAGAGGGGTTTGTGGGTAATTGTTCATGAGTGTCTTTCATCTCCTTGTAATCACAGCCAGCGTGAGAAACCTAAAGAGAGACAGAGAACTGTTTTTATTTCATTATTAAATTAATAAACTTACTGTAAATATTTATTAATATTAACAGCGCTAGAATTATTTATCTTTTACTGATCAAAACAAACATAACTTTCCAATCATAGTTAATGTACTAACAGCTTTACTGTTTCCATTTGTCGCATGAGAACTTCTGGATGCAGAATCAGCGTCTGTTATTTTATATGGGCTGTTAAGAGATACAATTCTGAAGTAAAATAGAATAGCGCATTAGGATTACACTCATCGTTTATTTGAATGAATTATAGTGTAGTGATGTTGTTGAGATCATAACAGGTTAGAGGGTTTCAGTCACTCACCTGTTATAATGTTCAGATTCACTTCAGTGTAGAAATCTTCACTGATACGGATATCGACTCCACACTGGTGTGTCCCAGAATCCTCTTCACTCAGATCTCTGATGGTCACAGTGAAAACTGCTGCTCTTGTGTTGTCAAACAGAGAGAATCTTCCAGAGTCAACCCATTCATTTTTCTCTTCAGTCTTGATGAGGTCTGAGCACCATCCAATCTGTGGTGTAACTGGCTTCTGTCCTTTACAAAAATACTTTGCATTTTCTGTATATTTTCTTTCATATTTGCATGTGATCATGACTTTTCCTCCTGAATATCCTGTAACACTAATGGAGCTCACCACACCTACAACAAACCAGCATCTTAATACAATACTGTAGTTATGATAATTATGAGGGTTAAATGAGACGAACGTTTAAATGGTTTCGTCAGATACTTACCAGGAATCCAGTCCAGAAGTCCAGATGATCTTCATTCTTCTCTCTTATTCAGTGATCTTCTCTGTTGTTAGTAGATTCAGTTCTTCTGAAGCTCTCGATGTGTGTTCAGATGAGTTCTGAGTGTTTCTTTCCTGGTCACATGTTTAACATGAACTGATGAATGTGACAGAGATGCCCACTTCCTCTATATATCTGCCACAGATAGAGAGGGAGAGATAATAATAAAGCGGGAAGTGAAAATAAAATAATTGACACACATCCAAAGAGCAGCGCTTTCTATGGTAACTGCACACGTTTCTGATTGTTTCATTATTGCTGGTTTATATTACAGTTAGATAATTACACTTTAAAATCCTCCGCATTTTTACATTCATCATTTACGTTCTTATTTAATTAAATTAGCATAATAACTTATATATAATAATGTTAAACATAATAATAAGTGAATAAACAACAGATTCATCAGTTCACCACATAAACAAATGCATGAGTGAATGAAAGCAGCTCACCGTCTCTGATGTCCAGGTGAATCTCAGAGAAGAAACTGTAGTCTTCAGAAACTTTGACTACAATCTTATATTCTCCAGAATCGTTCACATTCAGTTGTCTGATAAACACACGTAAGAGACGAGCAGATCTGTCATCATGAATGGAGAATCGGCCGACATGTGTCCATTCTGCTGCTCTGTTAGTGTTTATTAGAGTTAAACACTGATCTGCTCCAGTTTTACAGACGTCTATCAAAGGATTCTCTTCTAGCGTCTCATATTTGTAGTTTATAATGACGTTTCCTCCTGAATATCCCGTCACAGCACTGATTTTTTGACCTGTTGAATACAAACTCAGATATCAGTGTGATGATGATGATGTTCTTGATGAAGAACGGCACTTCATCTTCTTTCATTAACACTACTGAAACACACACACACACACACACACATACACACACAATCTCTGCCTCTTCATCACTGTATACATACATTTGTTCTTTAGCTTTGATCATTTGTCACTTTGTATTAAATTAAGACATCTGGTTGCTTACTCATTTTATAAGTGTAAATCTATATTGCAAGATAAAAAATAAGTAAATTTGTCCTGTTATTGATTTTCTGATGGTTTTTTTAGAGGATTACATGTAGTGTACGAATCACAATAATTACAGTCAGTGTCCAGATGATCTTCATTCTTCTCTCTTATTCAGTGATCTTCTCTGTTGTTAGTAGATTCAGTTCTTCTGAAGCTCTCGATGTGTGTTCAGATGAGTTCTGAGTGTTTCTTTCCTGGTCACATGTTTAACATGAACTGATGAATGTGACAGAGATGCCCACTTCCTCTATATATCTGCCACAGATAGAGAGGGAGAGAGAATAATGGGGGAAGTGAAAATAAAATGATTGACACACATCCAAACAGCAGCGCTTTCTATGGTAACTGCACACGTTTCTGATTGTTTCATTATTACTGGTATATATTACAGTGAGATAATTACACTTTAAAATCCTCCGCATTTTTACATTCATCATTTACGTTCTTATTTAATTAAATTAGCATAATAACTTATATATAATAATGTTAAACATAATAATAAGTGAATTCACGTTCATAAAACTAGTCCCCAGTTGAATAAAACTATGTATTTGTTTGAATGTCTCTTTTACTCTTTCAGTTCCTTCAATGAATCTGGTCTTCACAGGGACATCAGGAGACACATATCAAACACGTCAGATTGAAACGAAAGTGAAACAAATAAAGGAGAAATGAAAGTGTTGAGGAATGAGAGTCCAGCGGCTCCCTCTAGTGTTCAGATGATGTTCAGCACCACGGACAGCAACACACACACACACACAGACACACACAGACACACACACACACACAATCTGCTCCAGTTTTACAGACGTCTATCAAAGGATTCTCTTCTAGCGTCTCATATTTGTAGTTTATAATGACGTTTCCTCCTGAATATCCCGTCACAGCACTGATTTTTTGACCTGTTGAATACAAACTCAGATATCAGTGTGATGATGATGATGTTCTTGATGAAGAACGGCACTTCATCTTCTTTCATTAACACTACTGAAACACACACACACACACACACACATACACACACAATCTCTGCCTCTTCATCACTGTATACATACATTTGTTCTTTAGCTTTGATCATTTGTCACTTTGTATTAAATTAAGACATCTGGTTGCTTACTCATTTTATAAGTGTAAATCTATATTGCAAGATAAAAAATAAGTAAATTTGTCCTGTTATTGATTTTCTGATGGTTTTTTTAGAGGATTACATGTAGTGTACGAATCACAATAATTACAGTCAGTGTTTGTGCTGATATAGTGGAGATCATCACGAGTTTCAGAGTCTCAGTTACTCACCTGTTAAAACATTCAGATTCACTTCAGAGTAGAAATCTTTAGCCCAAGAGATATCAGCGGCACACTGGTACATCCCAGAATCCTCTTCACTCAGATCTCTGATGGTCACAGTGAAAACTGCTGCTCTTGTGTCGTCATACAAAGAGAATCTTCCAGAATCAACCCATTTTTCACCATTTTTTGTATCCGTCTTGATGAGGTCGGTGCACTCTGACCACTGTCCTCTACAAAAATACTTAGCATTCACTGTATATCCTCTATCATATCTGCATGTGATGCTGACTCCTCCTCCTGAATATCCTGTCACACTGATGGAGCTCAACACACCTACAACAAACCAGCATTAAAACACTTTAATATATTTATGAGGCTACACATAAATGAGCTTTCTTCAACTTTTCAACATCAGCATGAGCTGAAGTGAAAGAGTTCAGTTTCTCACCAGGAATCATCAGCAGAGTGAAAGTCCAGATGATCTTCATTCTTCTCTCTTATTCAGTGATCTTCTCTGTTGTTAGTAGATTCAGTTCTTCTGAAGCTCTCGATGTGTGAACAGATGAGTTTTAGTGTTTCTTGGTTACATGTTTAACATGAACTGACGAATGTGACAGAGATGCCCACTTCCTCTATATATCTGCCACAGATAGAGAGGGAGAGAGAATAATGAAGTAGGAAGTGAAAATAAAATCAGATTGAAACGAAAGTGAAACAAATAAAGGAGAAATGAAAGTGTTGAGGATTGAGAGTCCAGCGGCTCCCTCTAGTGTTCAGATGATCAGCACCACGGACAGCAACACACACACACAGTGTATAT